GGCAAAAAAATATAAGCATTCATATTTTGCACCTAAAGCACAGGCTAAATTTTTTTTTTTTACAGAGAAGAACAAAAAAGATAGCTCTTATATAAACACAAAAGTAGAGTAAATCTGTCCTGTTTGAACTGGGTTTTACTGATAATTAGAATATAGTACAAAATGACACTGCAAGACACAAAATATAGTTACAATCAATCACCAGTCGAAAAAGCACTTTTATGTGTGTGTACAATAAATAAAAATGCTTTTTATGGTTTAATAATATTATATAAAAGATGCTGTTTTTAATTGTAATAGAATTTATAGCAAGCTAGTACAATCACCACTGATAACCGTTCCTGATCTTATGCAATTTAGACACTATTGCGGAGTCTGGTTGCCATTGAGAGCAGTGGCCCTCCTGGCTATATTCTACACTGTTCCTGAATCACATGCTGTCTTTGATGGCAGAATGCGCTGTGCAGACAGAAAAAGAGAAAGTCAAAAGACATGGGGGAGGGGGGGAGACACATCCCTGCGTCACACAGCAAATAACTGAGCCTGCTCTGCGAGAAATGTAATTCTCCACAATGACATCCATACCGAGAACCCCCAACAGGAAAACAATTTCTGAAGCTGGGCATGAAATGTTGGAAGGCGGAATAATCAATGAGGGTATACATTAAGAGCTTGGGGAGTCTCATGAAAAAAAAATACTGTCTTTGGACTGAATCCAAGATCTTTCTAAGTCTCTGCTTCTCTGAATCTAAAACAAAGGCTTTTTTGCTTATAAATATCACACTACTCCAGGAAACTCATAAATACCAACTAGTCAATCCCATTAGCGGGCAACAGCACTGGCTCGTATGAACTGAGCCTTCAAAAAATTCATTGTAGGGATTATTTTGTTTGCCCCAGTTCCCTTCTTGCAAGTTCCATTCTTTGATTTTTTTTTTTAAAGACAAACATTTTAGAACAGCAAGCTGCATGCAGCCAAGGAGAAAAAACACAAGCACTGGTGTGCCAAAACCTGTCCACGCACGACTGATCAGAAACAGACAACGTCAAGTAGTGGGGAAAAATATGACAAGAAGAAACTGAGGGTATTAGGACGAATCTCCTCACTAAGTCCCCTATCAACACTATAAAAGCACAATGCGACACTAAAAATCAAAACAATCACGGAGAGTGGGAGTATTTTTTAGTGGGAGCCATATCATATACCAACTCAAGGTGAAACAGGCAGACAAGATGGCGCTGCAGACAGAGACATCTGCATACTGCTAAATCCAATCTGAGCACGAGAACGGGAAGGATTAACCAAATGACAACAAATCTGCAGCCCCTGTCAGGATAACGATGTTGGGCAGATGACCGATATCTCCAAAATCCCCTCCACAGTCCCCCCCCCCCAAAAAAAAGACGTAACAAACATGAACGCAAATTCGGGGATCAAGACAAAATGCACTACTTTCCAGCGTGCAAGCAAGCACTGTGTGTCTGACACGAGGGACACTGGTTTAGTGGGCTATTAGTCGTGATTAGATCTTTGGATTAATAGCTTTCTTAAAGCTAGACAAGAATGAAGGGTCGACTGGCAGATGTACAGAACTGCCAGTTAATATGCGGCACTTGTGGTCGGTGATTATAATATACAATATATATGTTTAATATAGTCTCATCACTGATTCTGATCTACACTAATCTTGAGCAAATAAAGATATTCCTCAATCCAGATCTCCCAAACCAGAGATCCAGAGCACTCAAACCATTTACTTTGATCACGAGGCGATACTTTTGGAAAAGCACATATAAACTTTTGTTCATGATTTGGGATTTATCTGTGTCCAGATACAGATATTCTGAACATAAAAAAGAGGCAATTTGGTTCATCTGGCGTATTTGGATAATACTGGCTAGGATATTATCCAGCCATTGCCTTACAGAAATGGTATCCAGTGGTAGAAAAGAAAACTACAAATAGAAAATGGGAAACACTTGAGCTTGAGGAGGTAATGTACGAGAAAGACTTCGCTACTTATTTTTATCATTTTGGTCACCAAGCTGACCAGTCTTCTTGTTGACAACTTATAGACTGTCTTTCTTCAAGATACTGCAGGATGAGCTCTTGCATGAAAACACATGGGCCAAATGCCTTGTAACTTCTTATGTACTTAAATTCACATTTCCATCCTATGTACCTTCAGAGTGTTGACAGGCTCTTGTTTACATTGAATATCATCTGCCAGATATTTACCCAGTCTCACTTTTTAAATGTTGTTTGCAACTTCTGCAGTTTTCTAATCCTCTAAGTTAGTCACCTGTGAACCTGACTAGTTTACTAACTACATCAACACAGAGACAGTTATTAAGAATTAGGAAGAGGAGTAATCCTGATACAGATCTCTGTGGTGCTCCACTAAGGACATCACCCAAATTATCTTCACCCCCCTCACTTTACTATTTCTTTTCCCTCTCCTAACCTGCTCTCAATCCAGTTGATTTTTTCGTTTTTTTTTTCTGAAATTGTTTATTAAAACCCTTCATTTAATCTACATGCCACATGATATTTGTACCTAATACTACCGGTGCTTTTTCAAAGCAACCTAGTGAATCTGTTAAGCAAGACATAGCTTTTCTAAATCCATGGTAACTATCATCTATAATCCTTTTGCCATGCATAAGGTGGTTTATTCGTGTATATTTCTAATTAATTCCATTACCTTATATAACATAGAAGACTTATCGGCATTATTATTGGATTATTAGCTGAGAAAATTACTTCATTTGGTTTTGCCACTCTGCTTATGGATGGGTGCGACATGAACAAAGTCAGAGAAACGTTTTTCCTGTTGTTTAGGTGCGCCTGACCTTGGTTGGGGTCTCGTCTACTTCTGTAAGCATTAGCTAGTGGAATCTGGAATCCAACGCTGGCCTTCGCTGATGGTCAGACATTCTGCTGGGCTTGCCTGAATCGCTCTAGTCCAGCTCAGGCGGGGCGCCCACTGGTCCTGCTCCACCTGATGGGCAGTCACATGGCTTCACAGGGACCCTGCTGGCAGCCAGCTCTTGCATCTTCACTGCCAGGGGAGGTTGGATAATGGAGCTTCCTCATTAATCTGGGAAGGGTATTGGGATCAATAACCCCGTGCGCTTTAATAAGTGCTCTGGGATTGTTAAAGTCGACACAAACAGATGGGAAATCGGTCGCATCTAAAAACGCTCGCAAGCGAACCCCCCCCTCCAGCCCCACTCTACCTCCAAGCTCTGTTCTCATGCTGTGCCGCTGTTCATTAGATCAGAGCAGGTTAACTTGGAGCAGAGGGCTGCTGCCGAGTTCAGTGTGCAATTAACTGTGCTGCTGCCAGCGCAGTAAATCTTCATTCGGGGTGGACTGCAAGACTGCTGATGGATTGTGCAATGAAAGAGCCGCTGACATACAACAAGGCCTTTTTTAAAACTGGGAAACAGGCACCGCTACTGCGACTGCACAGCTCAACTCATTCTTATTCAGCGACGGTCACAGAAAAGGGATATCAGCACTCCAGGAATACTCTTATCTCGGCTTTTTTTCTTACAGTCCCCTGCCCTCACTTACACATTGGTGAACAACATCATTGTATTGGGCGTGCAGTGTAGGCTGACACAAGAACATGCTATTTTATAAAGGACCTCCTATGCAATCTAAAGTCGGAGTGAGATCTGGGGTGGATATATTTGGAAACACACCACACAGTAAAGAATGGAGTCGACTCAATCAGCTCCAGTTTTCTCAAGTAACAAGGATGGGAAAATCAAGCACTCAAAGACCTGAAGTAATGATTTATCGTCCCCAGTTAAGCGAACATGCTCGTCATTAACATTAAGTGAGCCATCTTTCTTATTCACAAAGGAGGCTTTTCTTCTGAAGCTGCGATGCTGTTTGATCTCCCCTGATCCAAACGCAACGATCCTGGAGGAAACAGAAGACTCTCCAGTGTGCACCACTCTGCTGTGCACTACAAACAACAAGCACAGGTGCCTTTTCAGAAAACCAGCATCTTGTTTCCACTTAAAAGCCCTCACTGATCTCTGCTGAGAGAGAAACAAAAGTGCAATTTACAGGCCTGTCTTTTATGCCACCTGACCATTGAACTGTCCACAAAGCTGGACTCCTAAAAAAAAATAAACTTCAAAGCGGCTTATAAAGATGGGTTTTGCAGCATGGGAGGATCTGTAACTACAAACTAGTGAGTCACAAAGACATGTTAACTGCATGAAAGGAAGAGATAAAGTCACTTTCATCCAGACTTGTACATCATTCTTTTCAAATGAATCAAGAACAGTACCGACAGTCTCGCTTGCCACAACTTTCAGAATGAATCAGTGTTATCTAGTGTAACGCACCACAAGTTATTTATTACATTTAAAATAAGACAAAACACTGGACTCTGCAAGAGTTAACAAACTTACAAATCACTGTCCCAGGTTCATCATTAGACATCAATTTAATTAATTTCCCTTCGGGATCAATAAAGTATTATCTATCTAGACATCAGAGGTTTACACTGGCGCACTGCGCCCTCTGCTGGTAGTATGTTATAACTGTTGGAAGTGATAAATTATCCCACACACAAAGAAGCATCTCCATATGTTTTTTTTCCTATAGGTGTAAAAGGAAAGCAAATTTTTGTTTATAAAGAAACAAAAAAAAACGTACAAGTGGTAAATTTCAGTACATTCGCAATGATTGTTTCCTGATTCGGTACACTCAAACAAGAGGTACACATTTTTTTCCTCCTTATAAAAAAGCAAGAAAAAAAGTCATACAAACACCTATACATTTAGAAGTTTTCTGCTTGGCTGGTTCTCACAATATTTGCCAGAGTAAAGAGAGATTCAGACAGGCCTATTTAACTGCTCCGCTGTCTGAATGTACAATAATGCTCTTTCCACAGATTTTGTAAAACAGCAGGTCTGCATCTCTATATACGGAGCAAAATAAGGTATTTGAACACTAAAGAAAATGCTGTACTCACCTGTTTTTGGTACTGCTCCTGAGAGAGACAGTCAGTCACGTTCACACACCCCAGTAGACATCCTGTGGGATATTCTCTTGGAATGTCAGGGGCTGGAAATAAAACCGAATGGTTAAGATGCTGGACAAGCCAAGAAAAGTCAATGTGAACACTGACAAGCCAACAGCTATGCTCCGAGCTCTTATCTCTTCCCCTCACGGAGCCTTGTGTTTAACACATTCACCTGCACCTTCTCAATCATTTACTTTATTAACTTTCTATTCATCTCAGCTTGCTTGAAATGTATATTTCACTACTTACTTTTTCCTTCGATAATCACTGTACTCTCTATTCCCCCAAACTGTCAGTACACAGCCTCGAGGAAACCTTTATCGGTATACCTGTTCTGTAGAGTTTCCGATACATCGCTTCAACCTGGGCTGTCTCCTGGGGAGTGGGCCTCTTGGCTGCAGCAGCGATCCACAGGCGGCCTCGGTGAGAAGTGTACCAGGTCCTGCCCTCCACCCTGCAGCAAGTCAGAGAATCTCAGAGACTGCAGTGGTGGGCTGGCGGTCACATTTTCATGCAAACAGCTTCTGAACAGGTTATACAAAAGCCCAGCAGAGATTAAAATACAGAGCTCACAGAGTGCTTATACATCTTCTCCCTCATCGGAATTAAATAACGTCAAGCCCACAGATCATGCAACCTATAGAAATCGAAAGGATATAACATTTCCACTTTTCAGAACTTTTATGAGTCTGATAAACAAGCAGACATTATCTGTTTTTTTTACCAGTAATACTGCTATTTACTTCAAATACTTCAAATACACCACCACATATTAAAATCAATTTTTTAAATGTCACAGATTTATTATGTATCCCTTAAATGACCTAAGTGAACATCAGTCTGTTTGTTTCAATTTCCAGCTCTTATATAAAGCAGAGAACAGGGGAGTTGGTTTCCAAATAAAAACAGAAGAAAAAAGCTGAATAAAGAATATGGGTTGTCTATGTCTTATGTAAAACAAAACGGCAACATTAGAGATATTAAATACTACAAAATACCCAGAAAGTACCCATGAATCCTTGTCATAGAAGACATGGGTACCTTTAATGCCATGAACATAAAACAAAAGGCCCCTGCTCCATCACTCCATCATTAGGCCCCAGATGACGCTGTGCCGACAGAGGGAAAGACAGACAAATACCTCTTGATGCCCCTAATGAGCAAAGAGGCCCAGGGCTGGTGCATACTGAGACACCAGCCTCCATCTGCAATCTCCTGCAGCTCCCGGTCTTGAATCCGCAGCCGGCTGCGTCCTGAATCCGGCTCGGTCACGCCGGCCTTGTCCCGGGCCTTCCTCTGGACCTCCGAGCTGCCCACCTCCACCCACTGCGACAGCCACGACAAGACACACTGCCGCATCACAGGCTGCACAGCACCACGTACACATCACAAGTCAGCTAGTACTTCAGTTGTGTTATAGCTCATAACCACCTACCATTGGGAATCAAAGCCTTGCGTTTTCGCATGACTCCTGTAGCCTGACTGATACAACAGTTCACACTTACTAAGACATCACCCTGCATCGCCTGTGCTAGGCCGGAAAACGACAAGGCTTTCTTAACTCAGATTGTCACAAAACACAAAAATCCTTCTGCCTTAGCAGACAAGTCCCATAACAGCACCAACTTACACATGACCTCGGACAGCCATGTCAGTGTAGAACGAGATAAATAACCGAAAAGGGCTAGTTTAAAAAGTAAAGCATCAAGGGTTACTTGCTTCTCATGCATGTGTGATCGTTGTTATCCTCGCATTGCGTCTACTGTATTTCCACTCACCACTGGTGCGGCCTGCATGATATTGGGGTTCACAAGCTCTCCCAAGTGCTGTCGAGTCCCTTGCTCAGGCTGTGTGGGAGTTCGCGCCAGGGACCCTGTGCTGATGGCCTGAACAGTCTCATCTAACCTGGGAGAGAGAAATATCGTAAAAACTGCACCAGCCCAGAACAAAGCAGCAATGTGAAAAAAAATAGCAATAGTAGCACAACCCCCCCGTTTCCTTAGTCTTTAAATGACTCAATTGTAATTCATCTTTCTTGCACTCTTCCAACACCTCCAGCCTGGTCAAATCCTGTCATACTTCTTCCAGCTAAAGCTACTATTCTTCACATTGACCAGCTGACCTAATTACAGACTCTTCCTCCATCATCCTCCCTTGTTTTAGTGTTCTCATGGGACGACACTGAAGAAAAGCACTGTGTCTACACATCGCGGCAATTACAGATCTTCTGGTGGCACAGATTCCACATGTATTTTTAGTAATTTAGAAAATTAAAAAGTAGGATGACTAGATTACCATATTTACTTATTTTAACTTTTTTGAATTTATTTTCATTATAGAAGCAGAATGTACAACCACCTGGTTTAAACAAGC